AGAGTATATTTTCAAAGGCTTTAGCCTACAAGAGAAATTAGAATTCAGGAGCTGGGGAAATTAGGTGAAGGAGGTCAGCTTTCAGGAAAAGGATGAAACCTGAGTTGTGTTTTGAGGAATGGAGAGGATTTGAAGGGCAGGAGGAGACAGCTCCCAGCAGAGATGTGAAAATGAAACGCTAGCACTGCAGGAGGGAGACGACTGGGAAAAAGCAGGATTTCTGGTATTCTGAGCCCACGTACCACGGCTGCCTTTACGTCTGGGGCACTGCCAGGCTCTAATCCTACTGCTGGTCTAGCAGGAAGCAGCCTCCACTCTCTTCCTGGGACCCCCTTTTGACTCGTCTTCCCCTGCGGCATTTGCTGTTGCATTAACAGACCTGGAAGGAGAGTTAACAGCAATGATGTGTCAAATGACCCCCTACTTCTCAAGATCATGGTGAAAGGTGATTGAGGATGGAATCTTGCTTACTTTAAGCTAGTTAAGACAGGTTATGAGTCTTAATCTGGTCCAGGTAAACTACTCTGTGGTTTTAATCAGTTTCCCAGGCCAAAAGCAGCCCCAAGGGAAAGGTAAATGACTTTAATGACTAGCTATATTTTGAGGAAGCAAGATAGCATGTAGACCAATAGAGTCCCCTTTTTAATCCGTGGCCAAATAAATGCTTGAAAGACATTAAAGGGAGACACAAAGATACATCAAAATAAGAAAATAACAAAATAGCAAAGCTCTTTCATCCTGAATTTGATTCATAAATGTCAGAATGAACTCATGGTCTATTTTCTTTAAAAAGCAAACAAACAAAAACCAAAGGACAAACGGAAGTTATTTCCTAGCTCTGTCCACTGGAAAGCACTAGGACCAGTGACTAACGCAGTAGCAATGAGCACCAGGACTGTGGTCTCCAAATACAAACGTCCACTGAACGGAGCCAGGGTGCCTTCTAACAAAATAAGGCAGGAATAGCAATGTGGATGTCACTGATGTGAAATCTGAAGCAAGTGCATTATGATACAAAAGGGACTTTTTTTAATGATAAAAGGGAAATTGTATAACGAGAACCTGAGGCTATAGCACCAAATAACCTAAAAGCAAAACACACAGAAAGGTAAGATTGTGGCACGGCTGCTCCACAGGCGGTGAGGTGTGTTCTCTGCGTGTCTCTGTGTGACGTCACGTGTGCGTGTCTCTGTGTGACGTCACGTGTGCGTGTCTCTGTGTGACGTCACCTGTGTTTCTCTGTGTGACGTCACGTGTGCTTGTCTCTGTGTGACGTTAGTATTGATCGTGGCTCCTAACGACCTCGGACTGACCCATCCCTTGTAAATTTCCCTCTCAGCTTTCCTCTACTGCTCTAGCTTCCATTGATGATCATACCCCGGGATTTGTTATTTTATGTGTGGTTGTAAAATGGTAATATTGTAATACTATTATTTCATCTTTTATCTGGAATTCCATACAGAAGAACTCTTCCTCCTCAATTATTTGATTAATCTGAGCTGTGCTTCCTATGCAGGACAGGAATAAAGGCGCAGACATAGAGAATGGACTTGAGGACACGGGGAGGGGGAAGGGTAAGCTGGGATGAAGTAAGAGAGTGGCATTGACATATATACACTACCAAATGTAAAATAGATAGCTAGTGGGAAGCAGCCGCATAGCACAGGGAGATCAGCTCGGTGCTTTGTGACCACCTAGAGGGGGTGGGATAGGGAGGGTGGGAGGGAGACGCAAGAGGGAGGAGATGTGGGGATATATGTATACCTATAGCTGATTCACTTTGTTATACAGCAGAAACTAACACACCATTGTAAAGCAGTTATACTCCAATAAAGATGTTAAAAAAATTTTTTTTTAATTTATAAAAAAATAAATAAATGAGTGATTCTTACTCTTTATTTATAAATTTTCAGAATAACGAGTTGCTTCTGTTGCCACTCAATCCCCAAGGGTGACCAAGAGGATTTGGGAGGAGAGGGGTGTCATTATGCATTCATGGATTTTAACAGATTTAATGTATTTCAACCCACTGTAGTCATTATTCTTTGCGATACCCCCAAATCATCCCCTCAAGCCCGCCTGTGAGTTCTCTGGACAGGGCCCCAGCAGCTCCCTTGCTTTCTGATGCAACAGTGTGTTCCAGGCTCGTGTCCAACCTTTCCTTCTACAGACCTGGCAGCAGCCATTTCTCAGGGAGCCCTGGTTCCTTTTGGAGACCACAGTCCTGGTGTTCCTTGGTACTGAGCTGGTCCTTGGTACCAGGACTTTTCAGTGGCTAGAGCTAGGTAGTAAGGCTTTTCGTTTCTCAGTTGTTTTTTTCTGTTTTCTTTTTAAAGAAAATATATCATGAGTTCACTGACATTTACAATTCAAATTTAGCATGACACAACTTTTAAGTTTTCATGCAGTTCTTAATTTCTTTAACCTCCCTTTTTACACCGGCTTTCTCGCAGACTTAAAACATCCCTAGTGGCATTAATATCATGACTTATTTGCTGTGTTTATTTATTTAGTTTCACAGTAACAATACTCCCTGCTTAGTAACAAAATGGAAACCGAAAACAGTGTAAGTTTCCTCTGTGGGAATTTGGCCTTAGGATCTGTCCCACTAGGAAGTACCGGGAAGTAAAATCACTGAGTTTAAAAAATACTTGAAATACTTCTTCCTGTGTGGTCAAGCAACCTACCCAATACCGACAGACACTTCTTTCACTTTGCTTTTAGTTTTGAGGGGTGGCCTTTTAAGAATTTTTATGTAAAACATTTATTCTACACTGTTCTGAAGTTAAATCTACCAAACAATTACAGTCAAAGAATGCCGGCTTCCGTCCTGTCCCTTGGTTAGTTTCCTCCACTGGTCACCAGTTGTTCCAGTTACTGAGGCTACAGAACAAAATGCCCCAAAACTAGTGCCCTGCACTGCCGTCCATCACACTCGCTCATTGGGGCCGCAGCTCAGACGCCCCCGCAGGGTGACTTGACTCTGCTTTCCGATGTCAGGTCTCAGCTGGAAGAGTCAGGTTGGGTGTTGGGGTCACCTGGGGCAGTGCTGCTGGCTCCGGTCCTTCCTAGGTGGCCGTCCCACGTGCCTCTCTGCCTGAGTCTGCGCTTCAGCGCCTGGCAGGCTTGCTCCGGGGAGCATCCCAGGAGAGAGAGCCCAGGGAGGCTGTAAGACCTCAGAAGCCACACAGCGTCCCCTCCGCTACGTTCTCCCAGGCGAAGGGTCAGCAATCCCACCCAGTGTCACTGAAGCAGGGGCCTCCGTAACTCCACGGAGCAGGACAAGGTTCTGGAAGAGTCTCTGGGCTGGCAAGAACGCCGTGGCCACTTTGGAAAATGACACAACACTGGGATGCAGTTCGGTTTGTCCGTCCGTTTTAAATGCTTGAAGACGGGAGAAGAACGGGGACAGTTCTGCAAAGGCATTCCATGAGGCAGCGGATCCGGGAGGGGACTTGGAAGGATGGACGGTGCTGGTGGCGACAAGGACAGGGGCCCCAAGAAGGGGGAAGCGGGCGCGAGCAGGAAGCCAGAGCTGCGCTGCAAGGCCAGCAGGAGGCCCACGCTTCTCATTCCTTTGAGGGAAGGAGGAATCCCATTTGAATGAGCTGGGATTTTTTTTCTTTGAAATTGACTTTTCAGTGCTTGTACATAAGGGATAATTATTTGGGACTTATATTCACAGCAAGCACAAGCTTGCACAAGCTTTTTTCTGCACGGCAGCCTCCTATATAATGCCTATGGGCTCCCACTACCCATCTCACTCAGAGGAGGTCTTTGTAGGGAGGCAGGGCCGGTGCAATGAATGCAGGGTGCCAGGCTCTCTCCGGGGCATGCATGGGCACAGCTGGAAACCTCAGCTGCACCTGTTCAAGGTCACACAGTAGCTTTAAGGCCACTCGATGGCTTACTTCAGAGCCCTTTCCAGTATGTTTGAGCATTATTATATGTATTTATATCGGCTACTAAACACTATTGACCAAGACTAAATATTAATAGAATATCCACTACATTAACTGTTAATGAATATTCAACTATTATTTGTAAGGCAGAAGTGCTTATCTAAGGGAAAACAGCTCAGTCGTGTCGTAAAATCTCAGAAGTCTAAGTCTGCTTAATTTTTGGTTTTCTTCCAGTTTTATTGAGATATAATTGACACACAACGCTGAATAGAGTTTAGGCGTACAGAATAATGATTTGACTTTTGTACATCCTGAAATGATGACCACTGTAGATCTGGTGAACATCCATCATCCATATAGACACAAAATTAAAGAAATAGAAAAAAAATTCTTTTTCTTGTGATGAGAAATCTTAGGACTACTCTCTCAACAACTTTCATATATAACATGCAGCAGTGCTCATTACATTTATCATCCTGTACGTGACATCCCTAGTACTTACTTATCTTATAACTGGAAGTTTGTCCCTTTTGTCAGCCTTCCTCTATACCCCCCCTCCCTCCTCCTCTGCTTAGTTTTTTTTTAAGATAAGTAATTTTTTTTTTTTTTCATTCCCTGGGCTTCTCGGGGCTCTCACCGTTGTGGCCTCTCCTGTTGCGGAGCACAAGCTCTGAACGCGCAGGCTCAGCGGCCGTGGCTCACGGGCCCAGCCACTCCGCAGTATTTGGGATCTTCCTGGACCGGGGCACGAACCCGTGTCCCCTGCATTGGCAGGCGGACTCCCAACCACTGCGCCACCAGGGAAGCCCAAGATAAGTAATTTTTTAAAAATCCAAGTAAACAGTCTCTTCTAATATCCATGTAGGAATGTGTGTGGGATGTGTGCACAGGTGCATATGTGTGTGTCAGTGAGCTCATTTTTTTCTTTCTTTTTTCAGGAAGTGATACATTCTTTTATTTCACATTTAGAATATTATGCTGTTTGGCTTGTTGTAGTCTTATTCTCGCTTCCAAAACGTTTCTTCCCTATAGTTCCAACTATTAAAGTGAATCTTCAAGAAAAACGACACCATGAAAATCACTTGGCTGATCTTTTTCTGTTCCTTTCTTGTTCCTGTTTTGTCATAACCACAGCTCAGAGTAAAGCAGCTCCACAGAACAGCTCCCTCGGCAGCCAGGCTGGCATGGCAAGGCCACACGTATTGGTCCTATGAGAGTCGGAGAAAGGTCAGAGGGAAAACACCCAGAAAGTGTCCCAACTTTCTCAATATATAAATAATTTAGAATGCAAAGGAGTTTTTAAGGAAAGAGTCCCCAAAGTGTGACAAAGCTACTTAAAGCTTCAGAACCTAAAAAGATGCCACAGAGACTGGAGACATTCTCTCCTGTTATGGCTTTTAACACACAAAGTCTAAAACCAACGCCCACCGGCACCAGGCTCAGGGCTAAGGCAGAATCGCCGAGACCCCCAGGAGCCCCTTGAGGTCCTTCCCTCCCAGGTGAGGGTCCACAGGCTCTGTCATAAGAAACAAAGCAGCACTGGGCTCCTAATACGTGCCAGGCGCAGTGGGCTTGCACTAGGCCACTAACGACACTTTTTTGACCATCATGACAGGTCGTCAGAGCGCGTTCCTTTCCTATTTTACAAATGAGGAAGCCGAGGCTTCTTGAAGCCAGTTAGCTTACCAAGGTCACACAGGTCATAAGTGGAGAGTCTGAACTCACCCCCAGACAGGCCCGTTCCCAACCGCTGGAGACACCTGACCCAGAGCCCCCGTTCACCTGAGCCTCCCCTGGCCTGGACGGGGCGGCAAGACTGGACGACACCAATGAAGGTGAGCGGGACCCCAGCTGGCAAGCCCCTCCCGTGGCTCTTGCGGGTCACGCGGCCCCCAGCTCCGGGCTCTGTTCCCTGAGAGCCAATGCAGACCTCCATTGCGGAGTGCACTGTTGGAAAACTTTGCTCTCTGACGTTCAGCACAGGTGCCTGCTCTGCAGCTGAGCGCTCAGTGTTTATCAGTTCGCATCTGACAAGTCCCCAACCAGCAGGTGCTGCGCACCCACCCGGGGCTTTTCAGCCAAATCTGTGCTGCTCCGTGGTTCCTGTTACTCCGCCCACTGGGCATCTCTTGCAGTGGGGGGGGGGGGGGGGGGGGGGGGCAGGCCCCCACCCCCGGCCAGCACAGACGAGCAACCTGCGCCCACCTCCCACCCTCCGCTTGCCTGCTTGGCTTTCCAAGGCCTTCTTTCCGCCTCCTCATTGACGGTGGACCATGTTACTTTTCCCAGCTATTGGCTGACGTTCCCCGTACGCTCTCAACATTTGCTCTGTGACTACAATGCCCTCCCCTGTGGGAGGTGTACACTTCCTTCCTCGTTGTCACCAGGCTTGGCCATGTGACATGTTCTGGCCAAAAGAATTTGAATAGAAGACCAGATGTCAGATGCTGAGGGATCGGAGCCCGGGTGTGGTTTTGCCACCGCTGGGCCGTTGGAAAGGCAGGTACCAGTTCCAGCTGTTCCTTCAGCCTGGGTCCCAGAGTGAAAATAACGTGACCCACCGCCTGCATGGAACACGGGCAAACATTGAGCTTTGTTGGTGTAGTTAGTGAAGCCCTGAGATTTGGGAGGTGTTTGCTGTCGCAGTATAACCTGCAGTGTTTCCTGAGTTGGGAACAGGAGAGCAAAGGGAGTTAAACCAATAAGAAGTTGTGTAATAAAGGTTCCTGAGAGTCTGAGTCATCAGCACTGGTTTAAGGCCGATCTGGTCATTGAAATGGCTGTTGCCATCTCGTCCCCTGCCTCCTGTGGACATGCTTCTTCACAAGCTAACTCTATCTCTTAAACAGCATGATTTGTACTCTTTTACGCTGCGCTGTGGGAGCCCGTAACCTTACCACTCGGGTTCCTCCCAACCTCCTGAGGCTACAGCCATCAAGCGTCTCCACCTGTCCCTGTGACAACTCGCCAGCTTCCAGAGCCCCAGTTTGGCCTGGACCCCAGCTGCCCCTCCCACCTTCTTCTTTTTTTTTTTTTTTTTACATTTTTTTTGTATTGAAGTCTAGCTGATTGGCAAGGTTGCGTCAATTTCTGCTGTACAGCAGTGACGCAGCCATACATATATACATTCTTTTTTATACTCTTTTCCATTATGCTTTATCATAGGGTATTGAATACAGTTCCCTGTGCTATACCTTCTTTCTTGTACGTTTATTGGACTCTCCCTCTGCTCTGTTTAGGATCTAGCTAGGTGGACAGTATCGAACAAGATGACATCCCAGGTCCAGATCCAGGTTTGGGGGTTGAAAACTTGTACAATTTGGAGGTCCCTCACTGAGAACCGGAACAAAAACCCATGAATACAAAATGAGGGACAGGGCCTTGGAGGCCCATGCCAGTGAGGGGCCTGAGCTGAGCCCTCATCAGCTTCACGGTCAATGCACCCTGGGGGGTGGGGTGAGGAAGGGGTGGAGAGGATGAACACAGAGATAACAGGAAACTCCAAGGCGATGAAGAGAGGCTTGCTGAAAATAAACAAGGTGATGCAGTGGGAAGTAGCCAGTGGTGACGATGCTGAATTTTACTTGAGCCTGTGATCCTGAACCACAGCGAAGGTTAAAAAGTCCCCCTGCCCTTTGTGTTCCAGAAAACAGCTCACTGCAAGGACTCAGATACGACTGCAAGATGCCCCTGTTTACCTGGGACAAGGGCAGACACGGACCCTCCGAATTCCCATTCCTCAACTCACTTCAGTCCCCAGTGGTCATTCGGAACATGACGCTCAGTAACCAACCTTCCGTTCAGCTTCTCTCCCTCCTCCAGGCATAGACCTTTGGCCCAGCCTCACCCAGAGCCAGCAGGAGCCCCTCCTGAGCACACGCAGGCCAGCAGGAGCCCCTCCTGATGTCCTCTCCTAGGAAGCCACCCTCCCAGCCCATCTCCCACCCCCGGTTCTTTCTAGCTGTGTTTACCCCTCTCTGTAAAGAAAGCCCTTTTTGCCTAACCCTTGAGAAGCTTGCAGACCTTCAAGTCAGAGCTTTCTGCTGTTGCTAGAGTCCCCTCGCCCTGCAGTATCCTCGAGAATAAAATCTTTTCTAAGTCAGGTTCTGTTTTTATTTGGCTGTGGTTAGGAAAGCCCTCCCCACGGAGGAGTGATTTACACAGATGGACAATGGTTCAAGGGAGAACTAGGTTTATGGGAGGTGATTTTGTTTTAAGAAATGGATATTTTTAGCCTAAAACAAAAGAGAGGGAAGAGGACAGAATTGTGGGGTGTGCCTAGGTTGTTTAGAGGAAGTGGTTAAAGGAGCCTGAAAGAGGCAAGCAGTTGGAGAAACGGGGAAGGCAAGAAAGGCACAACGCTGCATAAGACCATGGAGGAGCTCATGCATTCCATCCATAGGCGCTATTTTACTGAGCACCTACTACTTGCCATCCATCGTGCCAGGCAGTGGGGACTCGGTGGTGAGTAAACTAGATATGAGTGTTGACTTGCAGTCTACAGGGAAAGACAGAAGTGAATGGAATAATCACACACATATTTCATTTCAAACAGTGGTGTGTACTATGTGGGTGAGTAACAAGCCGTGTACTTGGACAGTCCTGGATGGCAGAGGAACCTGAGGAAGGCATATTTTACTCAAAACGTAAATACGAATGGGCATTAACTAGGGTAGCATGTGGGGATGGGGATGGTGTGAGGCGAGCATCTTAGCAGAGACAGTGGCTGAGGAATGACAAGGCCAGCGTTTGTGGGGTGGATGGAACCAGGGCCTCTGGGATGGATGTGCACTTCTGTCCTGCACAGCGATCTGGTCCGCTGAGCTGTGAGGTCCGAGCAGTCTAAGAACTTTGATGCTCATCCAAAGACCAATGGGAAGGACTTCCCTGGTGGTCCAGTGGTTAAGATTCCACACTTCCACTGCAGGGGGCGCGGGTTCGATCCCTGGCCAGGGAACTAAGATCCTGCATGCTGCATGGCCATAAAAAACAAAAACCAGGGCTTCCCTGGTGGCGCAGTGGTTGAGAGTCCGCCTGCTGGTGCAGGGGACACGGGTTCGTGCCCCGGTCCAGGAAGATCCCACATGCCGCGGAGCGGCTGGGCCCGTGAGCTATGGCCACTGAGCCTGCGTGTCCAGAGCCTGTGCTCCACAACGGGAGAGGCCACAACAGTGAGAGGCCCGCGTACCGCAAAAAACAAAACAAAACAGAGATCAGTGGGGAGACCCAGAAAGTTTTTCCAGGGGAGTGACCTAATTAGATCCACACCTAACTGTAGAGCCACCGTTGTCCGATGCAGTGAGGCCAAACAGACCCAAACATGGGAATTTGAAGCAGAGAAAGGTTTATTGCAGAACTAAGGAAGGAGAACAGGCAGCTTGTGTTCAAAAACCCTGAACTCTCCAATGGTTTTCGGGGAAGAGTTTTTATAGGCAAAATTTGGGGTGAGGGCTGCGGGGTGTGTGGCTTCTTCTGATTGATGAGGTAACAGGGCGGGGCGCCAGGAATCTTGTGCTCAGCCTGAAGTTACCGTCCTCCACCTGGGTGGCGGCCCTAGTTCCTGTAGAGAAAGATATATCGATACATATATACATATGTGTGTGTATATATATGTTTATCCCTTGAGGAGGAACTAGGACTCTGCTTTATCGCTGCACTGCTTTTCCTCTGTCTCTGTGTTCCTTCACTTCCCTAATTAGTAACTGCTTGAATCCACCCTTTGGAGCTCAGGGAAGGTCTAGGAGGCTGAAGCCTTTTGCTACAAACAAGAAATGGGGACCCAGAAAGGCTTTTGTACCTGGGAGGGCACCTACGGTCCCACTTGGTTTGCCCACCCCTTGGCAGTAGAGGGGAAAGGGAAAGTTGACAGAGCCACAGAGAACCCAGGGGCCAGGCGCAATCTCTGAGGGTTAGTTTCTGAGGATGCAGGAGGAGGAGTGTGGATACAGGACTGCGCAGGATGTGGCAGAGGTGGGCAGGCGGTCATACAGGAGTCCACTACCGCCCGCTCTCCCCCGCCCATGGAACTGAGCATCGCTTTGATGGATCTGCACTTCCCTGGTTCTTAGACCCAGGACATTCCCCGTGTGGTTGGAGGAGGGAGCCGGCACAGGCTTGATTTGCCCTTGCCCGTTGCTCCTGGGGGCAGGCTCAGCCCCGACGGTCCTGCAGCTCTAAGTCTGTGAAGTGCTGCACACAGCGGGGCCCATGTGAACGGAGCAGAGACCAAGGGAATCGCGTGGGGTCACGGTAGGGGGGCCCTCTGCGGTCTTGGAGCTGGTCAGACATGATTGCCCGGGGATCGAGGGCTGCCCCTAACACCCCTGTGGTGGGGAGGACATGGCACACGCGCCTCTCTGCCTGCTGGGTCCCGAGGGTCGCACCTCCTTGAAGACAGCCTGGCCCCAAGGGAGCAGCCTCCTCCCCGCACTTTTCTGCGGCCCCAAGCCGCTGTCTCCACACACTGTCCCACTCCTTGACGGGCTGGCCACTTGGCCCTGACCGCACCGGCTCCCGGGCAGCTCAACGCCGGGAGGAGGGGCCGCGGCAACGAGGACAACAGAGAAGGTAGCTTTAAAGTCGACTTCACGGGCCCGGGCCAACGGCGGCCGGGAACTAGACCGAAAGGGAAGCCGCGTCAAAGAAGCAAAGGGGCAGAAGGACTGACCTGGGCCGGGGGCTTGTCCTCCGGATGGGGGCTCGTCCTCCCGATGGGGGCGTGTCCTCCAGAAGGGGCGTGTCCTCCAGAAGGGGCGTGGCGTCGGGGCCTCACTTGGCGTGTTCGCCAGCCGGGCGCGCGTCCGTCGCACAGGGGCGTGGCGTTGGGGCGCCCTGGGCGAGTCCGAGGCTGTGGGCTGGTCCCGGGCTGGGGGCGTGACGTCAGGCGCCCGGGGCGGAAACAAGCAGGGCTCGGCTTGGGCCGCGGGGTCCAGGCGAGGGTCTCGGCGAGGGTCGCGTTGCGCGCGGGCTGGGACTGCTGTGCGCCTGGAGGTCCCGGTGAGGTGGCGGAGCCCATCGGGCTCCCGGTGGTCGGCGGGCGGGGTTCCGGCGCCTCTCGGGGGCCCGCCGCGTCCTCGGCCGTGGGCAGGGGTTGGCCGCGTTGTTCGGTGGCCGCCGGCCCGGTGCACGGTCGGCTTAAGGAAATCTGCCCCTTTTTAGGGAAGCGCAGGGCCTGGCGCTGGACAAGGCCTCTCGCCCTCGGAAGGCCGCGCCTTGGTACCCCTGCGGGGTCCTCCGCCGGGTTCGGCCGATGAAGCCCGCGGCCCGCCTGGGCGCTCTGTGCCTGGCGCTGTGCTGCCTGGGCGGCGCGCGCGGGCTCTGGAGGAGGTGAGCTGCGGAGGGGCGCGGGGGGACGGGAGGGCCTGCAGGGGGACACGGGTGCCCGGAGCCACCGAGCGTCTCCTGGAGGCCTGGCGCGCACGCTTTCCGTCCAGGGTCCGGTATCCTGGTGAGGTGGTCGTGGTTCCTCTTTCCAGGTTTCTTTCGCCCTTCCTCCGCTCCCTCTCGTTCCCTCTTTCCATCCTTTCTGTTGCAGCTGACAGTGTACGGGGCAAACAGGCTGTCTGGGAGAGGAGTCTCATTTTACTAATGTAGTGGAGACCGAGATTTGAGAACCAGATTTTAATTTTCTTCTGTTTTATTTGGGTAATGCTTCAGTTAACAGAAGGATTTCATACTTAACTTCGCAGGCCTGGGAAAAGGTCAGTTTTCTTTTTTAAAAAAATTGGGGTATAGCTGCTTTACAACGTTGCGTTGGTTTCTTCTGTACGACGAAGAAGTGAATCAGCTGTATGTATACACACATCCCCTCCCTCTTGGACCTCCCTCCCACCCCACCCCCCATCCCACCCATCTAGGTCAGTGCAGAACACTGAGTAGAGTTCCCTGTGCTATACAGCAGGTTCTCATTAGTTATCTAGTTTATACATAGTAGTGTATATATGTTAATGCCAGTCTCCCAATTCATCCCACCCCCTTCTTCCCCCCTTGGTGTCCATACGTTTGTTCTTTGCATCTGTGTCTCTATTTCTCCTTTGCAAATAGCTTCATCTGTACTATTTTTCTAGATTCCACATATATGCATTAATATACGATATTTGTTTTTCTCTTTCTGACTTACTTCACTCTGTATGACAGTCTCTAGATCCATCCACATCTCTACAAATGACCCAACTGCGTTTCTTTTTATGGCTGAGTAATATTCCATTGTATATATGTACCACATCTTTATCCATTTGTTTGTCGATGGACATTTAGGTTGCTTCCATGTCCTGGCTATTGTAAATAATGCTGCAGTGAACATCGGGGTGTGTGTGTCTTTTTGAACTATGGTTTTCCCTGGGTATATGCCCAGTAGTGGGATTGATGGATCATATGATAGTTCTATTTTTAGTTTTTTAAGGGAAGTTCATACTGTTCTCCATAGTGGCTGTGTGGAGAAAAGGGAACCCTCTTGCACTGTTGGTGGGAGTGTAAATTGTTTTTCTTTTTTAGTGAACCGCCGTTGCTGTTTTATCACTTTAAAAAGTACCATTAAATTTCAGTTTTCCCAGGAAGTGTATTTTCTGAAAAAGAGCTCCATTAATTAACTAATTGTTGATGTCAAGTTAAGAGTGTATCATCGGAGAGGTAGTGCGGTGCACGGGTTGAGTATGAACTGCTAGCTCATATCCAGATGTAGGACCTTGGAGCTCTCCATCAAGGTCATTCATCCTAAAGTCGAGAGAGTAACAGCACCTGCCTCCTAGCCTTGGTGCCAGGAGACATCAGTTAAAGTACAGAATGTGCTTATAACCATGTCTGCCCGATAGTAATCAATACATGTTAGCGAAGACGTTAGGCTGTAGTATGTGGTCACCTCCAGCTGATTCTCGCGATTCATGCCACTGATACAATTGGCGAGCAAGGCATGGTTTCGAGAACATGCGGGTGATTCAGACCCTGAGGGCCTCACGGGTCAGCGGGTGTTTTCCCAGGTCCTCTTTCTCTGCTTAGTGGGCCTTTCTCTTTACAGCACAGTCAGCACCTCCGCCGCCTTGGGAGGATGTTTCTCTCTGGGTGGTAGGTGGTTATTGTGTGACAGACGTTGTGAGTCTTG